CTATCTATCTATCTATCTATCTATCTATCTATCTATCTATCTATCTAATCTAGACTGGGGGCATGCTCAGATAGCTTTGCACTGTGGCTATTCCCTACCCCCCACTGCCCACAGGGGGTTGATCGGGGCCATGGCTGGCACACACTGTGCTGTGGTTATGGGGCCCTGGCAATGCCCTCCCTTCAACTGGGTATCTGGCCACGCCCCCTTTCTCTTGACTGGCCGGGTCCATCGGTCTCTCCTCCAAGGGTCTCTCTGGTCCCCAGGGAGCTGGAGCTGAAGATGAAGGATTTCTTCTTATGCACGGGCTTCTGGGAGAAGCTGGAAGACATCTGGAAGATATATTGTTGTAACAAGAACCCCACTTCAGGTACATACCCCACCCTGTCCCATGGTGCATGGGCATGTCCTGCCCCGGGCTCCCGACACAATCTGACCCTGTACCCACAGACATGGGGTGAGATGGCCCTGCAGGCCCCACCACACCCGCTGGGCAGGTCTAAGTGCTGAGACTCATTGTTCCACCTGGGCTGACCTGAGCCCTGGGGCTGGAGGGTGAAGGACAAAAGGGCTGTGTGAGCCCTCTGCAGCCTGCCCAGTTCCATCCGCATGAGAGACTGGAGGGCAGCTCTGGCTTGAATCAGGATCTGCCCCCCAGCAGCTAGTCAGGGATCCCACCACATCTCCCATAGCTAGATGGGGCTCATGCTCCCCCATCTATTAACTCCAATGAAGAGATGCCCTTTGACACCAGCTGGGGTCTGACCCCATTGACTCCAATTGCGAGACACCCATTGGCACCAGCCATGGAACTGGCCCTATTGACTACAATGGGAGATGCCCATTGACACCAGCTGGGGGTCTGTCCCCATTGACTCCAATGGAGAGATGCCTATTGACACTGGCTGGAGGTCTGGCCCCCTTGACTCCAATGGAGAGATGTCCTTTGACACTGGCTGGGGGTCTGGCCCCCTTGACTCCAATGGAGAGACTCCCATTGACACCAGCTTGGAGTCTGACCCCATTGACTCACACGTTGTTATATGTGTCCCCAGAATACATCTCCGAGCACTGGCAGGAAGATTCTTTCTTCAGGTACCAGTTCCTGAATGGGATCAACCCGGTGGTGATCTGGAAGTGCACAGTGCTCCCAGAGAACTTCCCCGTGATGGAGGAGATGGTGGCCGGCTCCCTGGGGGAGGGCACCAACCTGCGGGAAGAGCTCAAGGTAAGACAATCCTGCCAGCCTCCTGAAAGCCATCTGCAGGGCTGAGTTCTGTGGGTCCCTTTCCCTGGAAGAAAACCCAGCAGCCTGCTTCATGTGAGAGATGAACCCCTCTCTCCACCTTGCAGAAAGGGAACATCTTCCTGATGGATTACAAGATCCTGGAGAGGATTCCCACCACACAGCTGAACGGGGAACAGTAGTACCTGGCTGCACCACTCTGCCTGCTGTACCTGACACCTGGTGGGCAGGTCATCCCCTTGGCCATCCAGGTAATGAGTGTGCCCGGCCTGTGCCTGGTGCTCACAACAGCCCAGGGAGCCCTTTGGCGCTGGTAATCCAGAACAGAGGAATTGCCCCTGATCCAGACCAGTGGGGCCTTCCTAGTGAGCAGTTCTGCAACAGCCTGTCCACTAGGGTATGTCAAAATTTGGACGGTGAAACAGTTTCCCATCAGAAACCCCCTGACATGGATCCTCCCATGCAGGGTAATTTCGACAGAACGTTTTTGTTACTGGATCCAAACAGGAAGTCGATTGGACTCAAAAGGTTGAGTTGGTGGGGGGTTCAGAAAGTGAAAAATGTTGGATTGGGGGGGTTGCTCCCCCAATTTCCTTTCCTCTTTATTCTTCTTTTTCCTCTTTTCCCTTCTTCTGCATTTTTCACCACTGAAAGATTAAAAAAAAAGAAAAGGAAAAGAAAAGAAAAGAAAGCGTGTGAAAGTGGGGCTGGGAAAGGAGAAAATCCACTTTTCACCCTTTAAAAAAAAACTGTTTTACAACTGGGCAGGAAGGCCAGACAGTCAGACAGCAGGATGGATGGGCTGAGGAGACCACGGGGACAGGAGGACAGATGGGACGGTGGATGGACCAAGCAGAACAGAGCGACAGGAGAATGGACAGGAAGGTGGATGGGCTGAGGAGAACAGAGGGACGGGAGGGTGGATGGGCCAAGGAGACCAGAGGGACAGGAGGACGGACGGGAGGGTGGATGGGCAGGGGAGACCAGAGGGATGGGAGGATGGAAGGGAGGGTGGATGGGCCGGGGAGACCAGCAGGACTGGAGGACGGATGGGAGGGTGAATGGCCCAAGAAGACCAGAGGGACGGGAGGATGGACAGGAGGGTGAATGGGCTGAGGAGACCAGAGGGACAGGAGGATGGGTAGGAGGGAGGGATGGCAGGGACAGATGGATGCAAAGTCACTGAATTTTATTTTTCCCTGTGGCTGCTCCACCCCTATTCTGTCCTAAGGCCCCGCCCTCACTCCACCTCTTCTCATGAGGCCCCGCCCTTGCTCCACCTCTTTCCAGCCCTGCTCCACCCCCTCCCCCAAGGTTTCCTGCCTGCCCACCACTCGTTGCTCTCTGCTCTCCCCAAGTGCCTCCCACCAGCCACCAACCAGCTGATCTGCTGCCCCACCAACCAGCTGTGGCTGGAGGGTGCTGAGCACCCCCTATTTTTTTCTTTGGGTGCTTGAGCCCCAGAGTACCCACAAAGTCCACACCTATGGATCGATGGACTGAGGGACTTGACAGGAGGGATGGATGGGCAGATGGAGTGGAAGTCAAATTGGAGGGCTCTGATTTCCTCTTTCCAGCTCCAAGTATTCATTCAGGAGTGGGGCCCTCCTGGGTGGGTGTGACGTTCTCCTCTGGTGTTATCTGGACCGGTGATGTGCTAGGTCACTCCAATCCTCGACTCTGGGAGCTAGCCTTACCCTGCTCTGCTGTGAGAACCCCCACTCCTGGGCTGTTCACGCACAGCCTCTGGCATGTAAGCTGCTCCTTGGATTGTATAACCGAATGACACTAGCCAATATTTCCATTCCCAGACACAACCCTAGGAACATCTATCTTGCAGTGTAGAGTTATGCCCGCTGGATGCTGCAAGCTTATATGAGTTCGTCAATTTAACAAAGAAATTGATATGTACCAGGCTTGTTATCCCAAGGGGAGTCTCTGACACGCTTCAAACCAAACGCACTGCTTCAGGTAGACTAAACAAACAGAGTTATTAACTACAAAGATAGATTTTAAGTGTTTATAAGTCAAAGCATAACAAGTCATATTTAGTCAAATGAAATAAAAGCAAAACGCATTCTAAGCTGATCTGAACACTTTCAATGCCCTTACAAACTTAGATGCTTCTCCCCACAGGCTGGCTGGTTGCTCTTCAGCCAGGCTCTCCCCTTTGATCAGCATTTCAGTTGCGTGGTGTTGTGTCTGTAGATGGAGGTGGAAGAGAGAGAGGGCATGGCAAAAGTTTCTCTCTTTCATCATGTTCTTTCTTCCCTCTTGGCTTTGTTCCCTCCACCCCCGTTCAGAGTCAGGTGAGCATTAGCTCATCGCAGTCCCAAACTGACCAAAGGAAGGCGGTGACTTACTCGAGAGTCCAACAGATCCTTTGTTGTTGCCTAGGCCAGTGTTCTTTGCTCCTGTGAGGCTGGGTTGGGTTTGTCCCATACATGCCCTGATGAGGTGTGAACTGCACCTCTGCTCTTGGGGAGTTTTTGCCTGGGCTTGCTTTAAGCCATGAGGACACATTTTCAGCCTCATAACTATATACATGAAATTACAACCTATAACATTACTGTAATAACAATTACTATAACATTATTATAACAACAATTCTCAGTACATCATGAGTCTTCCGAAGACATCCAACATGACAAACTTTGCATTAGATACCACAAAATCATATTATAAGGATGAACGTGGGGGTGTAGGGTGTTTCCATGAGGTACAGAACGTCACAGTGGGGCCCTCCTGGGTGGGGTCCTCCTGGGTGGGGCTGCACACACCCCTCCCTCCGGTTCCCACCCACTGGGTGTCTCCGGATGTCACAGCCCACAAGCCTTAGCTCCACCTCCAGCTTCAGGGCTCTCTGTCCAGTCCTGCACTGCCCCCTGCTGGCAACTCCCAGCACGTGGGCCATGCAGGAGGCTGTTTCCTTCTCATCTCCTTTCCTTGCCCTCACAGCTCAACCAGCACCCGGGCCCCGACAGCCCCATCTTCCTGCCCAGTGACTCCGAATGGAACTGGACCCTGGCCAAGATCTGGGTGCACCTGGCCAACTTCCGTGTCCATGAGGTCAACACCCACCTGCTGGAGGCACATTTCCTCTGCGAGGTCTATTGCATGGCCACACTGCGCCAGCTGCCCATGTGCCATCCTGTCTACAAGGTGAGGGGGGTGAGGGACTGAGCGGGAAGAGAGAGTCACCCCCTCATGTCCTTCCTGTGCCTTTGGCCAGCAGATAGCTGTGCACCAGCTGTGCCCCAGATGTGCCCAGCTGCATCCGTGCCCCAGATGTGCCCAACTCTGTTTGAGCTGGTGCCAGAGGCATCTGATAGCGCTTCAAAATGTGCCCAGATGTCCGTGCCATGGCCCATCAGTGTCTGTACAGTACGGGGCACCCAGGTGTGTGCCCAGCTGCAGCCCCTGCCCAGATGTGCCCCGCTGTGCCTGTTCCCCAGCTGGGTGTGAAGGTGCCATCTGCAGCCAGAGATGCCCACTTTCTGCCTGGATCCATGCCCCAGTTATGCCCAGCTGGTTCTGCGGATGCCGTCTGCACCCAGCCATGCCAAGCTGTCTGGGCCATGCCCCGGACACACCCAGATGTGCCCTGTCCCAGCTATGTCCAGCTGAGCCTGTGCCCAGCTGGGTGTGGGCATGTCTCTGTTTCACGCAGCCGCGTGGGGTCCAGTCGCCCCTCGATGTGCCCTGTTTCCCACAGGGGCTGTGTTGCTGGGGGTGGGGAGGTTGGACTTAGAGTTAGCACCCTGCTTAGCCCCATGTCTCTCTGCTCCCCATAGCTCCTGATCCCCCACACCGGCTACACCCTGCACATCAACATCCTGGCTAGAACCAACCTCATCCAGCCGGGAGGGGGCTTCGACAAGGTGAGAGGTGACTTCCTGCCCCCCATCCCCTGGTAAGAGCAGAGTGCGATCTGGGAGTCAGGACTCCTGGGTTCTATCCTGAGCTCTGGGAGAAGCCCAGGGGCTAGACGGTAGAGCAGTGGGCTGCTGGATTTCAGGATGTTTGGTATCTTTGCAGCTCTGCCACTCACTTGTGATGTGACTTCAGTCACACCCATTTCCTTCTGTGTGTCTCTGTTCCCCCATCTATAGAACGGGTGGTATCACGTGACTGCTCAAGGTATTCCTACAGCATGGCTGGTGGATACATTATGCTCCCATTGGCCTTTCTAGGATGAGGCAGTGAGTAAATAAAAGGGCTAACACAGAACAGCCATAGGGTGCTGGCAGTTAGCTCCAGGTGGTCTTTTTGTGCATAGCTTGTGTTTTTTGGTGGAAAAAAACTGCAGATCTGGTGGCACTGAAACGTTCTGCGAATTACTGTCAATTTCACTGAATTCTTTTGGTTAAAAAAACCCACAACTTTTTGTTTAAACCTGTTTTTAAGAAGGTCGAGATCCAAATGAAACGGTTGTGTTGTGTTGAAACAAAAGCATTTGGCAGAGGGGAACCATTTCCGTTTTGTCCAAACAAAACTTTTCATTTGACCCAGAACAAATCTAGATTTTAGTTTTAAATTTTCTTCTCACCAAACCTTTCAAACACCTTCGTTTTCAGCTGGATCTGGAACAATTTCCCCCCCAATTTTTTGGAATTGTCAGTGAGCTGAAAAAAAAGTCTTTGGACTGCTCTGGACATGGCCCTAGCGAGATTGTGACTGGAACAGGGTGCCCCATTGTGGTGTCTACACCTTAGCGGATGAGTTGTCTGAACAACCTGGTTCACAGTGAGACACTTAACCAAGAAACTCTATAACTGGAGATCTCAAACTTCTTTTTGCTGGGACCCCCTTTGAAAATATTTCAGGCTGTGATGACACCCTCAAAAAGTGATGACCCCCCCCCCCCCCCCCACGCCACGCTTACTTCAGTGCTGATGATGATGGTGGCGCTGCCTTCACAGCTGGGCACAGCTCTCACGATGCCCCCTACTATCCTCTTGCATCCCCCTTTTGGGTTGGGCCCCTCAGTTTGAGAAATGCTGCTCTATATTACTGATGGGGAAAGAATAAAAGGAGATCTGATCACACTCTATAAGTACCTGCCTACAGAGATGTCAAAGAGTATAAGTCTCCTTAATTCAGCAGAGCAAGATCTAGTGGCTGGGAGTTGAAGTTAGATCTCTTCAGCTTGGAAATGAGTGGCAGCTGGGTCCCAGGCTGGAGAAGAACCATTAGAAGCAGCTTCCCAAGGGGTGGTGGAGGGTTTATCATTGGGAAACGTTAGCTCCAGATTGGAGGTTTCTTTCTAAAAGATCTGCTCTCGCTCAGGCATAATTTATTAACCCAGCTGCTGTCAATCAACACTGAGCCAATGGAACTACAGCCGATTAACAAACGATGGGGATCTGGCCCCATTGACTCCAATGGAGAGACGCCCATTGACACCAGCTGGGATCCGGCCCTATTGACTCCAATGGAGATACACTCATTCACACTGACTGGGATCTAGCCCCATTGACTCCAATGGAGAGACTCCCATTAACACCAGTTTGGGATCTGTCCTCTCAAGATTTCCAGATTCTTCCCTCTCTTCCAGGCCTCCTCGACAGGTCGAGACAGGATGCTGAAGCTGCTGGCCAAGAGTGTGGAGAATGTGAGCTATGATGTGCTCTGTCTGCCGGACAACCTGGAAGCTCGTGGTGTCAGTTCGCTCCCCAATTACTACTACCGGGATGATGGCATGAGGATCTGGACAGTGGTGGAGAGGTGAATCCAGGGGGCGGGACCCAGTGATTCCTTAGAGGAGGGGGTGGAGAAGCCACAGTGGAGCTGGGGAGAAGCAGTGAATCCCTAGGGGAAAACATAGGGAGTGCTCTCCCAAGCCCCCCCGCCCAAAACATAGGGGGTCCCCCCCCCCCCCCCCCCCCCCCCCACAGACCAAGCACCGCCCACTCATTCCCCTCCAATAAGGTGCTGCTCCTAGTAGAACATCACAATGGGGGTCATTTCTTTGCTGTGTAATGTGCTTTCATCCGCAGTGACGTAGTCATCGGGAGCTGGAAATTGTCCTTATGTGTCAGAGTTAATGGCCCATATGGGGAGCAACTCATCACCCTCCTCTCAAAGCAATGGCTCAGGCTCTCTGCAAACTCAGGCAGCGTCGCTGCGTCAGTTTACATTCAGGTCACAGTCTGAAGGTTTTCTTCACATCCAGGGGGCCTGAAGATTCAGGCTAGATCCTCAGCTGATGTGAATCTGTGAGACTTCAATACACCTTTGCTTATTCACATCCACTGAGGTTCTGGTCCTATCATTTTTATTCATAGATTCTAAGGCCACAAGGGACCATTGTGATCATCTACTCTGATCTGCTGTCTCACGTAGGGCAGAAAACCTCCCTAAAATAATTCCTAGGGCAGATGTTTCAGACAAAAAACAGCCAATCTTGATTTAAAAATTGCCAGTGAGGGAGAATCCACTACGATCCTTGGTAAATTGTTCCAATGGTTAATTACTCTCACCTTTAAAAAATGACACCTTATTTCCTGACTGAGTTTGTCTAGCTTCACCTTCCAGCCATTCTCTTCTTAGACATTTCTCTGATAGTCTGATTGTTGGCGATTGATCCTGCTTTGAGCAAGGGATTGGACTAGATGACCTCCTGAGGTCCCTTCCAACCCTGATACTCTATGATTCTATGAAGAGCCCATTTTTATATATTTGTTCCCCATGTAGATACTTATGGACTGCGATCAAGATCCACAAGTGGATGTGATATACTTGACTTTAGCAAAGCTTTTGTTCCAGTTTCCCGCAGTATTTTTGCCAGCAAGTTAAAGAAGTATGGATTGGATGAATGCACTATAAGGTGGATAGAAAGCTGGCTAGATTGTCAGGCTCAATGGGTAGTGATCAACGGCTCGATGTCTAGTTGGCAGCTGGTATCGAGCGGAGTGCCCCATGGGTCGGTCCTGGGGCCGGTTTTGTTCAACATCTTTTTTTAATGATCTGGATGATGGGATGAATTGCACCCTCAGCAAGTTCACAGATGACACTAAGCTGGGAGGAGAGGTAGATACGCTGGAGGGTAGGGATAGGGTCCAGAGTGACGTAGACAAATTGGAGAATTGGACCAAAAGAAATCTGATGAGATTCAACAAGGACAAGTGCAGAGTCCTGCACTTAGGACAGAAGAATTCCACGCACCGCTACAGGCTAGGGACCGACTGGCTAAGCAGCAGTTCTGCAGAAAAGGACCAGGTGATTATGGTGGACGAGAAGCTGGATATGAGTCAGCAGTGTGCCCTTGTTGCCAAGAAGGCCAATGGCATATTGGGCTGTATTAGTAGGAGTGATTATTTCCCTCTATTCGGCATTGGTGAGGCCACACCTGGAGTATTGCCTCCAGTTTTGGTCCCCCCCACTACAGAAGGGATGTGGACAAATTGGAGAGACTCCAGTGGAGGGCAACAAAAATGATTAGGGGGTTGGGGCACATGACTTACGCGGAGAGACTGAGGGAACTGGGGTTATTTAGTCTGCAGAAGAGAAGAGTGAGGGAGGATTTGATAGCAGCCTTCAACTACCTGAAGGGGGGTTCCAAAGAGGATGTGAAAAAGTTTTTCCTAATATCCATCCTACACCTCCCCCACTGTAACTTGAGAACATTGCTCCTTGTACTGTCATCTGCCACCACTGAGAACAGCTGAGCTCCATCCTCTTTGGACTCCCCCTTCAGGTAGTTGAAGGCTGCTATCAAATGCCCCCTCATTCTTCTCTTCTGCAGACTAAATAATCCCAGTTCCCTCAGCCTCTCCTCATAAATCATGTGCCCCAGCCCCCTAATTATTTTTGTTGCCCTCCGCTGGACTCTCTCCAATATGGCAACATCCTTTCTGTTGTGGGGGGACTAAAACTGGACGCAATACTTCAGATGTGGCCTCCGCAGTGCCGAATAGAGAGGAATAATCACTTCCCTCAATCTGCTGACAATGCTCTTACTAATGCAGCCCAATATGCCATTAGCCTTTTTGATGTCTGGGTTGGGCAGGGGGGTCAGTATAGGTGACTGGAGTGGGGTTAACTTCCAGGAATCACTGAAATCACATCAGTGCTGTTAGCAGCATCCTGCCATGGAAACAAAAATCTCTGTGTGGAATCAACGTGTGTGGCAAATGGCTTACAACTGAAACTCTGTTAGGAAATTTACAATATGTATTCCTAGTCCTGTGGTGTCATCTAGTGACTTTCCCATAACATTTCATTCTCTGTAATTTATTATCTCATTGGGGTTTGATTCCTTTCTCACTGCCCCTTTGTGTAAATCAGGAGTAACTCCGCTGGAGTCACTAGGGCTGCTTCCCCTCTCGCTCACCCCGGTGTGACTCCAGAGTAACCCCATTGCATACGACCTGGCTCACTGGTTTCTCCTTTAACCCTCACAGTTTTGTCTCTGGCATCATTGGGCTGTACTACCAGAGCAATGACACTGTCGAGAAGGACTCCGAGCTGCAGGCCTGGGTGGCAGAGATCTTCACCAAAAGGTTTATGGGCAGGAAGTCATCCGGTACTGTCCTCCAACCCCTTTCTCACCCTCTCCAGCGTAGCCAGTGGGGTCTGGTTAGAACTCACTTAGGGCTGGGTGCGGCCTAAAGGGTACCAGGGTGTGGCCGCATTCAGGGCCGGCTCTAGGATTTTTGCCGCCCAAAGCAAAAACAATTTTGGCCGCCCCCCCCCCGTTTTTTAATTACCCCACCCTCGGCCCCGCCTCAACTCCGCCCCTTCCCCAAATCCCCAGCCCTGCTTCCTCCCCCTAGGCTCTCAAGCCTAGGAGGGAGGGAGGGGGAGAAGCGGCGCCCGCGCCGCGGTCACTCGGACTCTCCCCCTCCCTCCCAGGCTCT